GGTGTTGTTGACAATCACTAAAAGTTACTTTGAGTATAATGTGTGTAGAGTGGATATTCAAGGTATTGTAATAATGGTTGTGATAGTATAATGATAAGATAAAATGAGTAGGATAAGATTATTGCATTAGGCCTTCAAATTACATTTACTATTTCTAAATGGTCACAGTTTTTCAGATTACATTTCCGATTCTTAAATGATCATAGGTCTTCAATTAGTTTCTTTTAGGATCTGTTTGTGCTGTTAGGATGAAAGGAAAAAATGTGAGCACACAAAATTGCACTTGCAGAAGTGAATAAGCACAAAATTATCACCAAAAAGATTTAGTCATATTCTTAAATGATAGAAGTTTTATGTGTGGCTTTCCAAAATGATCCTCTAGTGGTGGGACATGCACCCATGGATGAAAATCAGTGCAAGTAAAATTATGGTCATGGGATTAAGATAAGGAGTTTTCAATTGGAATCGTAGAAGTAATTTCTTAACTATTTATGTAAAGAAGGATTAAAACGAAGAAATGAAGAGAAAACACAAATAATAATAAATAAAAAATGAATACCTTTTTTTAATTTTTCTTCTAACACAATTTGACCTTTTTCATCTAAAATATTGTTTAATAATGTTTAAAATTTTATTTATTTGTTAAGTTATATATATTGATATTTTAATCTTCAATTTCAATCTTTATAATAATATTTGAAGAATTATTTATTTTGTTTTCATTATTATAGAAAAATAAACTAGTTATTAATTTTCACATTATTGTTAGGGATGACAAAAAAATATGTAGCTTACATTGGATAGTTGCTATTTGCAGGTACCGAATATTTTAATATCCATTTATAAATGGGTTGGGTATACGTATTATACTATCCAATCTTCGAGTATACATTACCCTTAAAAAATAAAATAAAAAATTAATTTATATTTAATTTAATTTAAAATATAAATTAATTTTATATTTAATTTAACTTAATTTAATTGAAATTAAATTTTAATATTTATTTTATTTTATTTTTATTAAATTATATATATATATATATATATATATATATATTTTAATTTTATTTTAGAATTGTATAAAATATATATGTCTTAACATTTGTGGATATCCATGTGTTTTTTTGAAACGAATATCATATTCATTTTTGCGAATGAGGTACATTTGTAAGTGTAGCTCTCCTAACTCCTTCGGATATAAAGAAAAAATAAGTATTTTTGTATTATTTATTTCATAAAAAAGTTAACTTTGTACGGTCTCTTTGTATTATTTATTTCATAAAAAAGTTAACTTTGTACTGTCTCTGTAACATCCCGATTATATAGAAAACATATATAATAAAGACGTCATCATGCATAAATAGGAAAGCAGTTAGGAGTAATTAGGATTACAGTCATCCTCAAAAGGGTCTTCAGAATTTAAAACTTGACATACTAGAGTGTTTTGAAAGATAAGGAAACACTTAAATTCCTAATGAACTAAGCAACAACATTGTCTTCCTCCAAAGCCTGCTCTAGAGGCATCTCATCCACCTCTGCTCACATCCAAGTGGATGATCATTGCAAAAGAAAGCATACCCAAGCAAACACAAACACACAAGCAAGGGTGAGCTAGATATACAAAATTAATGTTATACCAATCACACACAATATGCAATTAAAGGCAGATATATTAGACCACGCAACATAACTTCTTACAATTTACACTTGACTCGTCCGGACTAGAATGATTGCCGAGCTATGGCGGGTTATGCACTCGTGGTGTCCTCTACTGCTTTGCAAAGCCATTGCCAATGGGTTTCACCCTACCACACTCACGAGGTTAGTCCGTTATCACTCACCTTGGACCATACTGGAAGCACCCAAGACTAGGACCTCCTGCTACTTCTCACCACATGGATCAATCCTCTCTACTTGAGAATGAAAGACCATTGGAGCGTCAGGAAAACCCCCAAAACTGAGCTACCATGCATTCATTCCAAACACTGAGGGCACCACCATGTGACCTCCCTTGAGATCCATGGAATTACATCCATTACACATACTTGTTACATTCAACCACCAAACATGTCTCATACATTCACATACTTTTAGTATAATAACATTACCACGATCATACTATGCATTTCAATCATTCCGCACACTTAACTCAAACCAAAACAAGAGCAAATGAGCTTGAACCGAACGCATGAGCTTTGGCCGAGCACCGAGAGCTTTGGCCGAACGATATGAGCTATGGCCGAACACCTAAAGCTTTGGCCGAACACTTAGAACCTTAGCCGAACGCTTAGAGCCTTGGTCTAACGCTTAGAGCCTTGGTCGAACGCTTAGAGCCTTGGCCGAACACCCAGGACCTTGATCGAACACCTAAAGCCTTGGCCGAACGCTTAGAGCCTTGGCCGAACGCTTAGAGCCTTGGCCGAACGCTATCAAGACCACCACTAAGACCGATCGTTACCAAGACCACCCACTAAGACCGAACGCTACCTATGACCGAGCGCTACCTGAGACCGAGCACCATCAAGACTGAACACTACCTAAGACCGAGCACTATCAAGACCGAACGCTACATATGACCGAGCGCTACCTGAGACCGAGCACCATCAAGACCGAACACTACCTATGAGACTGAACGCTCAACAGCGCATGGCCGAACGATTATCAGTTCACTTTCGATGAAACTGCATAATTCTGCAGAATTATGAACAACACCTGACATAACCATTCCTAACCATTTTTACTAACTTCTAACACCCTTAATTCTTGTTTTGTACTTAATTAAACTTATCTAAATGATTCTAAACATTCCTACTACCATTCTAAAGTGGTTAAGACTCAAATTCAACTCTAAAACACCAATTTTCCCAACTTAAAGATTCAAAATCCAATCCCACGGCTTTGCACCTAGTTTGATCAATTTAGTGACTCAAACAAGTCACATTACAGTGGCTAAGACTTCCCCAACAGCTCAGTTGCGCTTTAGACCCCAAATGCCCAAAATCACTACCTCACTTCCTCTCAAAGTGACCTAAAAACCACAAAACTCCAAATTTCTATCCAACCAAAAATATATCAGATTTCACACTTAAATCACTTCCAATTGGTCAATTTTAGCAATTCAAACCCATCCAAATCAATTCCAAACAGCTCAACACAGTTTCATGGATTTCACGTATCAACACATACAATACAACATACTCAAAACAAAATACAACTCCAAACAGTGCACCAATTCAGAATCCAATATACATACACTTCATCCAAGCAATTTAAAGAAGTATTCTAGCTCCCCTTACCTTGAAACTTCTTTGCTCAGCTCAAAGACCCGCAACTACAGTACCTCACACGCGAATAATCTAGACAACACCCTACAACCCGCAATGCGGTGATTAAGAACAACTCTTAGAGCTAGAATGAACGGAAGAAAACGTAAATGAGGGTACACTAGGCACATGCAACTTGCCCTAGGTCCCAAACAACGGATAACAGTGAAGAGCTACTTACTCGCTGAAGAATGAAAATCTATTCCGATGGTTGCGAAGGTCTCTATGTCGTGGTCACTTGAGCACCACCTAATCCAACATGCAACCACTAAATGTGAGGGAATGGTAGAGAGAAGGCAGAGAGAAATGGAAGAACAAACTTTTTAGAGAGAGAATGGGAAGCTGAGATAATGAACTCAGATTTTGAAAGATTCCTTCCTAAGGTCATAGTGCCCTTAGCCTTATGGGCCTGGCTGTCCCAACATAAGGCCCAACTGCCATAAAATTTCAGGCCCAGTAAACTTTTGAATTGCACAACTTATAAATTATTTGATTTCTAAATTGGGGAATCCGAAAACTTTTTCCTATAACATTTAGATTACACAATGTAAAATTTATTTTTAAGACAACAATTATTTTCATATTTATATGGTATAGAAAGAAAATATGGAGGTGTAAAAAGAAATCTTCTTTATTTCTTTTTGTTGGGCACAACATTCTCGAACGATAAGTCAAAACCCACATTTAAAATACATTATTAGAAATGTTAAGAAAAAAAAAAGAATGTAGTATGTAGTAGTAACAAGAAACCTTCAAGAACTCAAAATCATAATGACAAAGAGGATCTATCGAAACTCACTTGGTTATCCTAATAATACCAATAAAACTAGGTAGATTAACTAACTATACTCACAATTACAAGGGCTTCAGTCAATCAAAGTAGAATAAGAAATAAGAAATGTAGACGTTAAACAAATTTCCTAATTTGTGAGTTTGTGAGTTTTGGAATATAAGGTTTAAACTGAAGAAGAAAGGGATGGATAAGTCAGGGAGAAAAATTATAAGGTCGGGTTATGTTTTTTTTAACTTATTTAATTAGTGCGTTCTTGGGTTTGTCTATCTTAACCTAACTCAACATTATTCGCAAAATAAAATTTGAACTAAAGAGCACAACATAAATAGTTAATTAGCCTTTTTTTTTTAAAGAAGTTAATTAAATAAGCAAATAGGATACAATGATTGATATGTAATTTTACTTATTTTGTTCTAAATGTATAATTTTTTGTTCTAAACATCTAAATCAGCTAGTTGTTAGTTGAGTTCGGTGTACGAGCTGTTGTAAATTTAGTAATGAACCTTGAACAAATGTTGTAGATAATGATTTTAAACAAAATGAATATTAACCTTGGGCATTTTTTCTAGCATATTATATATAAAATTAACACTATTTAGCTATGAATTAATTCAACTTTTACTAGTTTCCTAGCATGGTGTAGTGATGAAAAGCAATAACCGTCTTATAGTAAAGAGAACAAACCAATTCCTCTTCTGAATCAATGTACAGGTCCTCAAGTACTTAAAAACCCAGTCTGGAAATCAGTCTGTTTGCCTTTGAAGTACTTTTGTTTCAAACGTAATCCAAACAAACTTTTAATTCATCTTCAATTCTTCTTTCTTCGATCTTGTTGTTCTATAACTATTCTAGTTTATCCAACCTCGTTAAATAAACATGCGATACATCAAATTTTATCTTATCATCAAGACATACTTTTGTGGGTGGTAACTGAGTATGTTTCATAACGACTTCGTTTTAAAATGAAATTACATTATAAAAAAAACTGTATTTTGCAAACAGATGACAAGTAGCGTTCCAAACCCAAAATGTTTTCATCTTATTCGTGATCACAAATTACCTCCCTCTAAGATGACTTAATGGTAGTTGACAAAGTGAAGTACTCGAGAATCATCTTCCCAAGCCATCATATGTTCAATCATATTCTGCAATTGGCAGCTGGAGAAGTTGTAAAAGAGAAGAGAGAACGAATCAGAAATTAATATGTCAAATTAATACAATAGCAATGTGCCAAGTAAAAGAAAATGTAATACATTAGAAGCAGCCCAAAGAGCATGGGCAGATGTAGTTCATCTAAAGCAAGAATAAATTACATTACTTTCTACTTCTACCCCTCAACTCAAAATCTTAAATTAGCCCGCTTGATGTTTGTAGTATTAAAATGGAAGTGAATAATTGGATAAATGCAAGTCAATCATAAGTTATTCAACCCAGTGAGATTGTTTTCGAAATTTTTCTTTCCAGTTCACGTGGGCATTGGAGCTAGACCATGTCAACAAAGAAAGTGCATCGTGCCATATTTAAGCAGAATTGCAGCAGAGCAAACACTTTTATATAACTTCATTACTTTAAGGACTTTAAGGACAATTTAAATACAACTCCACTGAGAAAAATATTTTCTAAAACAAAAGTTATTTGGTAGCTAACTCTGATTAAACCGTGGATACTAATTATATAAGGCAGTTTAGTGTGTACTTACTACAATACACAAATTGATTCAGATCGAGAGTAACTCTGCCTTGTTTTGCTGTATCAAAAGAATTAAACAGATTCCTGCAAAAAAAAAATAATAATGAAATATCATTATTATAATATTGTAGTGGATAACAAAATAAAAATTCAATGAGGTTGGAAAAAATGGTGTTAGAAATCTGTGGCTTTCCTTTCCCGGACTTTGTATAAAATGAGAACATACCGTGCTGATTGTAAGAATATACAGATTGATATGAAGTCGTCCAGCCGAAACCTTCCATTTTTACTTTGATCAAAGCTCTAAGAAGGATAGAAAAGAAATAATTTAGCATGGTCTTCTATATTGCATTAATGTGCAACAAGAATTCCAACTAAAATTAAATTTAGATGTGAAAATAATGAAAAATAATTACAAGGCTAACATAACATTATAGGATTCTCCATCTCTATTATACATTCAAGCTATCATTCCAAGAAAGGAACAAAAAGAGATGTTTTACCTCACAGACAGTGTAAAAAGCAGGAGAATCCAGCTTGAAACCAATTTTTACCAAAGCCTGGAAACATTTAAAATTCATCAAGATCAGTCGCAAGAGAGAATGTTATGTGAAATAAGCAGAGTCTTGTAGTCTCTCAACACTGGAGAAAGATAAAGGCTAGGACTACACACTGTAACACACTTTCTCACTGATAGGAAATGATAAAACTGGTAGGTCTCACATCTTATTAATGGCTCTCTTGATTTTGTAGTTTTTAATAATCAACAAAAAAGGGTGTGTCCCTAGAACTCAAGGTAAATACAGATCATGCAAGGACACCACTGTAAGAGGAGAATATGAACATTACACCAACAAAGGACCTTGATATTTTGTTTCTACAACTTGGAGATCAGTTTTAAGAACTATAAGCTCAATTGGATGGAATAAAATAGTTGCAGTAAGTACACGGTATAACTCACAGAATAATATATAAAATATACCTCAAATACATCATCAGGCACAAGAAAACCACGACCCCTGCATCAACGAGAGCCTAACAAATGTTACGACTCATCCATCCATTCTTCATGGAAAGCACACAGATAAAAAAATTACGTAATTATTTAAATTTCAACCAATGAGCTTTACTCTCTAACGCGAATCCCTCACTTTAGGGAAGCCAAAGCGACTACTGCTCTATTTTGCGTGATTCAATAGTACTATCCAGCAATCTACTGATTGGCATTCTATCACATAAAAGGTACTTAGACTTTAGAAGTAACAGGTCAAAAAAGTATTAAGATTCGTACCACCCACAGTCGCATGGTTTACGAACCTTCACATTAATAATTTCTTTCGGAAAAAGGTCGTCCGTCACTTAGTCTAAGTAGATGTAAGGAGAATAGTTTATAAAAAGAGACATGAGGCGACATTGCATAAACTTATAACGGAGGTTAAAATAAATAAAACGATCACCTCTCTAGGTCCGAAAATGCATGTTGAACCTGCAAAGACATTTATTTAAGTGGTATAAGAATACATTGGATGAATATCAATGGATAATTTGAATTTATCGATCGTAATGTGATGCACCTGCAGATAAGGGACGACATGAGTTAGGAGGACAAAAGATGATAATTGAGGTAGTCTTACAAACATGTGATGTGATGTGAATTGATATGATGAGGTGTAGAATGTAGAGTGATTAGCACAAGTAAAAGTAAGTAAGTAGTAACCTTAAGAAGGAAGTTGTTGAGTGCAACAAATTCTGAGAGAAAGAAGTTGTTTGAAGGTTAGAGAGAGTGGAATGTCGGAATTAAAAGATAAAATAAAAAAGGCATGGACAGAGTAAGAAAAAAGGTGGAAATTTGGCGGGACAATGGTAAGGGGATAATAGGGTATTGAGAATGGCGTGTGTATGTACCTTGAAAGCTCATGGTACCATTCCTGTCGAAATCGTACATCCTACGGAACGGAATAGAATGAATCACAGCAGTAAGGAGAGGAATAAAAACGGAGAAGAAGAAAAAGAAGAAACCTGATCATCTGGTGAACCACTGAGAGGGGGAATTGCAGGTTGCCCACAGCCAGAGCTGCCTGAAAATGAGAATGATAAGAGAAAAGAAAGATAAGATCGCATCGCCGCCGCAACCAAAAAACACTCTTTTTACCTTCAGCTGCACCGCCGTAATGCTTCCACTTTTCTCCGAGTCAACGCGGTCAAACCATTCTTGTAATGTTACCCTGTTCTCCATCCTCTTTCGTTCCCCACAAACTTCTTCCTTCCTCCACGCAACTAACAAATGCCTTTTCAACCTAATAAAAACGCCGTCGTTTCATGTTTATCAATTAATAAATGAAAACAATTCCATTTCCTTTTTTATTTTTTGTAATTTATAATTTATAAAAAGAAGAGTAATAAAAACATGGAACAAAAAGAAAGGCAGGGCAGTGGAGAAGAGAGACGTGTAATAATTAAATTGATTCTGATATTATTATGTTACCTATTTTTTTATTTTTTATTTATACTTTAGGAGGGACGAGGGAGAGAGAGGTTGTTGGGAGGATTGGGATGCGAGATGGACAAAAAGGGTTTCCTTTGGTGAATTGAATTGCTTACTTGGTTTGCTATGCTATGCTGTGCTGTGCGATGCTATGGTTCTTGGCATAAGGAGACGATCCAGGTGAGGTGACGCTTCGAATTCACCATGCGTGAATTCAATCCATCGTTCTTGAATTGAATTTATTTAGCCTGTTATCATTGTTGTCATCCACTGATCCAATAAATCTGGTGAAGAGAACAGGTGATGTCTGAGTTGAATTGAGGTATATATAGTGGTGCGTGTGTGTGGGAGTGATTGGTCAATGAACGACACCAGCATTCTCATCCAATTGGTTTCCTCGCCTCCCACATGGGCAACTGTAATCGCAGCCGCATTTCTCCTCACTACCCTCACCCTCTCCATGTATCTTCTGTTCGAGCATCTTTCCGCTTACAAGAATCCCGAGGAGCAGAAGTTTTTGATTGGGGTTATCCTAATGGTTCCCTGCTATTCTATTGAATCGGTAAGTCCGCACTCCCCTCCCATCCCTCATATCACGTATTACATGTTATGTCCCTGCTCACTTTCCGCTTCCCTCCAACCTCAACCAGTTTGTATCATTGGTCAATCCATCAATCGGGGTCGATTGCGAGATTCTCCGGGACTGCTATGAATCCTTCGCCATGTATTGCTTTGGAAGATACCTTGTTGCCTGCCTTGGCGGCGAGGAACGGACCATTCAGTTTATGGAAAGACAGGGTCGTCTCTCTGTTAAAATTCCTCTTCTGCAACATTCTTCTGACAAGGCCACTGTTAACCATCCCTTTCCTCTCAACTACTTCTTTAAACCCTGGAAACTCGGTCATCGCTTCTACCAAATTGTTAAATTTGGCATTGTTCAATATGTATGCTATGCTTCTCTTCTCTTCTGTCAATCATTCCTTTCTTTTTCCTTTATACTAATACTCTCACCAAAACTTTCAGATGCTAATCAAAGCTTTCACTGCTATTCTCGCTGTAATCCTTGAAGCCTTTGGAGTCTACTGTGAAGGAGAATTTAAAGCAGGATGTGGGTAAGATACTCTCAAATTGCCTTGTTCAACCATATCACATAAAAATGTTCCATTTCTTTTTCCCTCTTGCTTGCTTCTTTTGCTGTCTTAAAATAACTTTTTTTCCTTATTATTGCCATTCTTTATTATTCTTTTAAATGATTATTAATGTTCCATGGAACATTCGACCTCTTTATCTACGAAATCATATATTTATATTAGGTAGAGTTTTGTGAAACTATGTTCTGCGATCACCTTTCTCTGTACGGTCGTTGACTCCTACATCTATGTTATATTTTATGGTCATCTTCTTCCAAGTACATATGCATTTTCTATCACTTTTTCCCTTAACTACTTTGCTAGTATAACATAAAAAGAATATTCTGCTTGACAATTCAGAACCCAAATTTCTAAGGAGCTATTTATTAAACTACTCCAATTTCACATGAACAGATAGCCGAGAAGGGAAACAGAATTTTTGAAATAAACACTAAAATCTTGAATTGGAGGGAAACAAGAGTATCAGGCAAGAAAAAGAGGGGAGGAAAAGAAAGAAACTATCCAATCATGGGATATAGATTGTGGATTATTAGATTACATTTCCATTTATATACGCCGTATGAATTTGTCCTTTGACACCTAAACAACTTTAACATAACCTGGTATACCAGAATGGTGGCTTAGATTGTAGTCAGTAACTTGCCATTCAAAATTGTTTCTTCTGTCTTAAAATATTTTTAACTAGAGAAATGCCAAATCATCTTTAAAGATTATCTCAGTAATCCTACTTCCTCCTAATTACTTTTGGANAAAAGGGTGTGTCCCTAGAACTCAAGGTAAATACAGATCATGCAAGGACACCACTGTAAGAGGAGAATATGAACATTACACCAACAAAGGACCTTGATATTTTGTTTCTACAACTTGGAGATCAGTTTTAAGAACTATAAGCTCAATTGGATGGAATAAAATAGTTGCAGTAAGTACACGGTATAACTCACAGAATAATATATAAAATATACCTCAAATACATCATCAGGCACAAGAAAACCACGACCCCTGCATCAACGAGAGCCTAACAAATGTTACGACTCATCCATCCATTCTTCATGGAAAGCACACAGATAAAAAAATTACGTAATTATTTAAATTTCAACCAATGAGCTTTACTCTCTAACGCGAATCCCTCACTTTAGGGAAGCCAAAGCGACTACTGCTCTATTTTGCGTGATTCAATAGTACTATCCAGCAATCTACTGATTGGCATTCTATCACATAAAAGGTACTTAGACTTTAGAAGTAACAGGTCAAAAAAGTATTAAGATTCGTACCACCCACAGTCGCATGGTTTACGAACCTTCACATTAATAATTTCTTTCGGAAAAAGGTCGTCCGTCACTTAGTCTAAGTAGATGTAAGGAGAATAGTTTATAAAAAGAGACATGAGGCGACATTGCATAAACTTATAACGGAGGTTAAAATAAATAAAACGATCACCTCTCTAGGTCCGAAAATGCATGTTGAACCTGCAAAGACATTTATTTAAGTGGTATAAGAATACATTGGATGAATATCAATGGATAATTTGAATTTATCGATCGTAATGTGATGCACCTGCAGATAAGGGACGACATGAGTTAGGAGGACAAAAGATGATAATTGAGGTAGTCTTACAAACATGTGATGTGATGTGAATTGATATGATGAGGTGTAGAATGTAGAGTGATTAGCACAAGTAAAAGTAAGTAAGTAGTAACCTTAAGAAGGAAGTTGTTGAGTGCAACAAATTCTGAGAGAAAGAAGTTGTTTGAAGGTTAGAGAGAGTGGAATGTCGGAATTAAAAGATAAAATAAAAAAGGCATGGACAGAATAAGAAAAAAGGTGGAAATTTGGCGGGACAATGGTAAGGGGATAATAGGGTATTGAGAATGGCGTGTGTATGTACCTTGAAAGCTCATGGTACCATTCCTGTCGAAATCGTACATCCTACGGAACGGAATAGAATGAATCACAGCAGTAAGGAGAGGAATAAAAACGGAGAAGAAGAAAAAGAAGAAACCTGATCATCTGGTGAACCACTGAGAGGGGGAATTGCAGGTTGCCCACAGCCAGAGCTGCCTGAAAATGAGAATGATAAGAGAAAAGAAAGATAAGATCGCATCGCCGCCGCAACCAAAAAACACTCTTTTTACCTTCAGCTGCACCGCCGTAATGCTTCCACTTTTCTCCGAGTCAACGCGGTCAAACCATTCTTGTAATGTTACCCTGTTCTCCATCCTCTTTCGTTCCCCACAAACTTCTTCCTTCCTCCACGCAACTAACAAATGCCTTTTCAACCTAATAAAAACGCCGTCGTTTCATGTTTATCAATTAATAAATGAAAACAATTCCATTTCCTTTTTTATTTTTTGTAATTTATAATTTATAAAAAGAAGAGTAATAAAAACATGGAACAAAAAGAAAGGCAGGGCAGTGGAGAAGAGAGACGTGTAATAATTAAATTGATTCTGATATTATTATGTTACCTATTTTTTTATTTTTTATTTATACTTTAGGAGGGACGAGGGAGAGAGAGGTTGTTGGGAGGATTGGGATGCGAGATGGACAAAAAGGGTTTCCTTTGGTGAATTGAATTGCTTACTTGGTTTGCTATGCTATGCTGTGCTGTGCGATGCTATGGTTCTTGGCATAAGGAGACGATCCAGGTGAGGTGACGCTTCGAATTCACCATGCGTGAATTCAATCCATCGTTCTTGAATTGAATTTATTTAGCCTGTTATCATTGTTGTCATCCACTGATCCAATAAATCTGGTGAAGAGAACAGGTGATGTCTGAGTTGAATTGAGGTATATATAGTGGTGCGTGTGTGTGGGAGTGATTGGTCAATGAACGACACCAGCATTCTCATCCAATTGGTTTCCTCGCCTCCCACATGGGCAACTGTAATCGCAGCCGCATTTCTCCTCACTACCCTCACCCTCTCCATGTATCTTCTGTTCGAGCATCTTTCCGCTTACAAGAATCCCGAGGAGCAGAAGTTTTTGATTGGGGTTATCCTAATGGTTCCCTGCTATTCTATTGAATCGGTAAGTCCGCACTCCCCTCCCATCCCTCATATCACATATTACATGTTATGTCACTGCTCACTTTCCGCTTCCCTCCAACCTCAACCAGTTTGTATCATTGGTCAATCCATCAATCGGGGTCGATTGCGAGATTCTCCGGGACTGCTATGAATCCTTCGCCATGTATTGCTTTGGAAGATACCTTGTTGCCTGCCTTGGCGGCGAGGAACGGACCATTCAGTTTATGGAAAGACAGGGTCGTCTCTCTGTTAAAATTCCTCTTCTGCAACATTCTTCTGACAAGGCCACTGTTAACCATCCCTTTCCTCTCAACTACTTCTTTAAACCCTGGAAACTCGGTCATCGCTTCTACCAAATTGTTAAATTTGGCATTGTTCAATATGTATGCTATGCTTCTCTTCTCTTCTGTCAATCATTCCTTTCTTTTTCCTTTATACTAATACTCTCACCAAAACTTTCAGATGCTAATCAAAGCTTTCACTGCTATTCTCGCTGTAATCCTTGAAGCCTTTGGAGTCTACTGTGAAGGAGAATTTAAAGCAGGATGTGGGTAAGATACTCTCAAATTGCCTTGTTCAACCATATCACATAAAAATGTTCCATTTCTTTTTCCCTCTTGCTTGCTTCTTTTGCTGTCTTAAAATAACTTTTTTTCCTTATTATTGCCATTCTTTATTATTCTTTTAAATGATTATTAATGTTCCATGGAACATTCGACCTCTTTATCTACGAAATCATATATTTATATTAGGTAGAGTTTTGTGAAACTATGTTCTGCGATCACCTTTCTCTGTACGGTCGTTGACTCCTACATCTATGTTATATTTTATGGTCATCTTCTTCCAAGTACATATGCATTTTCTATCACTTTTTCCCTTAACTACTTTGCTAGTATAACATAAAAAGAATATTCTGCTTGACAATTCAGAACCCAAATTTCTAAGGAGCTATTTATTAAACTACTCCAATTTCACATGAACAGATAGCCGAGAAGGGAAACAGAATTTTTGAAATAAACACTAAAATCTTGAATTGGAGGGAAACAAGAGTATCAGGCAAGAAAAAGAGGGGAGGAAAAGAAAGAAACTATCCAATCATGGGATATAGATTGTGGATTATTAGATTACATTTCCATTTATATACGCCGTATGAATTTGTCCTTTGACACCTAAACAACTTTAACATAACCTGGTATACCAGAATGGTGGCTTAGATTGTAGTCAGTAACTTGCCATTCAAAATTGTTTCTTCTGTCTTAAAATATTTTTAACTAGAGAAATGCCAAATCATCTTTAAAGATTATCTCAGTAATCCTACTTCCTCCTAATTACTTTTGGAGGAAAGGGATGACGAAAGGGAAGTTTTGAGACTCTCTAAATATTAAATGCACGTGCATTTTTTGTCTTTCTTCACTCTTTATGTAATTAGAAGGATTATCATAATAATGTATTCAAACTCCTCAGATAATCTTGTCATAAAATCTCTTAATTTGGTCTTTAACCAAACCAATGGCATCATGTGATCCATGTAAGCTGGCCTCATCTAGTGCGATAAGGTTTTTGTTGTTGTGATGATGTGTTTAGAGGATTTAGCATTTCTCTTTTGACTATATGTTTTGTACTAGATTCTAAGAAATCTTCCAGCAATTATCACTGAAGCTCTGTCAGTTACTTTCATGCATAGGTGTTGAACTTATTATGTTTATTTCTAGATATGGTTGTTAAAATTTCATATTTGGTATCTTCATTTTAAAGTTTGTGTTCTCATGCAATTCTAGTGACAGGTTAAGGTTTTCAAGTTATATATAACTGCATGAGCTTTCTGCTACTTTTGTAGGTATCCATATACGGCAGTGGTTCTGAATTTTAGTCAGTCATGGGCTTTGTACTGCCTTGTTCAGTTTTATACTGTTACAAAGGATGAACTGGCTCATATAAAACCATTGGCCAAGTTTTTGACATTTAAATCAATTGTGTTCCTCACTTGGTGGCAAGGTGTGGCAATTGCTCTCCTGTGCACCTTTGGTTTGTTCAAAAGTCCCATTGCTCAAGGCCTGCAGTTCAAGTCAAGTGTCCAAGATTTCATCATATGCATTGAGGTAGACTTCGTCCTCTTATGTTTGCCTTGCTTCATTTTGTTTGGTAGTTGCATTAGGAACTGGGACAGCATTTTAATTGAATTTCTTTTGTATCTATTATATCTTACAGCTGACTGTTGTAAGGAAGCATTTTGTGCAACCATTAACCATGACTAACTCAGTTCCTGGTCCTCCATGGTCCAGAATGCCTGGTGAACATGGTCTGGGAAATGAATTCTCTCTTTTAATCATAGCCTTGGTGGGAAGTAAATTGTGCAATTTGAGCATGAAAACTTATTTTAGTTTGCTGCTAATCGATCTGTCTAAAAGCCTATAGATTCAAGACACAATTATCTGTGTTGGATTAATAAACGGTGTGCTTTGATTGTTTTCATGGAACTAGGTATTTTTTGGTAAATCCAACTTTTAAACTGATGTAGTTTGGTTGATCAGTAGATTGATCATTTAATTAATTTTGATAATAATAACCAGGCATGATGCTGTGGGATGACAATACGCCGCAAGGTGTTAGTTTGTAATTTATATTTTCAGTGTTCTGTTACATTTTGCATGTAATTTGTCAACACTCACGCTCTTAGGCCTCTAGACACTGTTTCTTGAACTTGTACTTGAACCTTTTTGGACTCTTAAGTACATGTTCAACACTTCTTATCTTCATGTTTTACATTTTTATGACTGCTTCAGATAAGGGGAAGAATAGAGTTTAACAGCACTTTGTATTCATCAAGCACAGATGGGAATTGCTTCCATAGTTCACCTGTATGTGTTTCCAGCCAAGCCTTATGAGTTAATGGGAGACCGCTTTCCTGGAAGCGTTTCAGTTCTGGGAGATTACTCTGCTGACTGTTCTCTGGACCCTGATGAAATTAGGGACAGTGAGAGACCCACAAAGCTGCGTCTTCCTACACCAGATGATGATACCAAGAGTGGGATGACGATTAGAGAGAGTGTTCGTGATGTTGTTATTGGTGGTGGTGGATATGTAAGTATGCCGAAGTTTGCTAATCTTACAACATTGCTTCTTTTTCTCTGGGCATGTGGTATTAATTAACACCGGGAAAAATTCCCTACTAGCAAGGGTGAGGAAATAATATTATTCCCTCATTCTTTTGAAAAATGAAATCCTAAGTATTTATGAACTTATCATAAAGGGGCTAATTCGTGGTTGATAAAAAATGAAACAAACTATCTTCTTTTAAATTATTCTAAGGAGAATAGGGTCAAATATTTCCCTTTAGTAGGCCAGGTTCCAGCACCATGTAGAAGAAATTACTTTTAATGTGTCCAAAATTTCAGTACTGTGCATATTTTGCCAAGGGAAAAAAAAATAAAAAATTGGCTAAAATGTCCAACTACTTTGCACGTTATTTTTATTTATTTGAACCTGTTTGTACGGTTATTTCCTAATATGTCTGCCAATCTGCAGTTTCTGAACGGAGTCCACAATTCACAATAGGCAGCAAATGTTGTTGTATACAGATACATATGTCCTCTTAATTGAAAACTTGATCGGGAAACACAACAAATGTGCATACCGTGATATTTTATAAAAGAAAATAGAGAAACACTAGATAGGTAATAAGATCTTGGATAAGATTAAGACGGAATCTTAAAGTGAGCTGCATCTATCTGAAGTTTCTTTTTTCGTTTTTTGTTTACTTCAATTTTCAACTCCATTCTTCAGTATTAATTTATTTTCTAAACATGCCAACAAATATGATTTATTAGGAAACTTCAGGACCAGAAAAGATTTAAAAATTCCAAAGTTATTTTTATCAGTAGTAGAGAAATATTGGCTTATTAATTTCAAGTGCCTTTTTTAATATTGTATCTGCTTCACCCTTTCTTTGACACTCAGATTGTTAAGGATGTGAAGTTCACTGTTCATCAAGCTGTGGAGCCCGTGGAAAAGGGGATTACTAAATTCAACGAAAAACTACACAGAATCTCCGAAAATATTAAGAAACATGACAAAGATGGAAGAAGAACCAAGGATGATAGTTGCATTGCCTCATCATTACCTGCAAGGAGAGTGATTCGGGGAATTGATGACCCCCTCTTGAATGGGAGTGTCAGCGATAGTGGCATATTGAGGGGGAAGAAACACCGAAAGAAATCTGGATGTGCAAGTGGAGAGAGTGGAGGTGAGAGCAGTAGTGATCAAAGTTTTGGAGGCTACCAGATTAGAGGCCGTAGGTGGGTTACTAAAGAGTAACCAATTGTTAGGGAACAGCTTATGAGTGGGAGGAATAATTTGTTACATGCTCAGACTGGCTTTTGAAACATGTTTGGTGCATGAGAATTCTGGTTGATATTTTCTTGTATATTCTTGTGCCATTGTATTAGGGGTCTTTCTGTATTTGTATAGAGGTTACTTCTGGCAGCTTCTAATGCTTTGTACCAAACTAGAAATTTCCTGCGGCTGCCAGAATAAGCCATTGTTTCTCGGGGACAATATTATTTGATACTGGCTGGGACATTTGGAATTTATATTTAAATGATAATGTTAGTTTTATTCATTTCAGATAAATGGAGTATATTTTACTGATGTAAGGAGAGTTGATGGATCAGGTTGGCGTTGTATGTGGTTTGAGCATAGGAGATGAACCAGAGAAAATGAGACACAAAAAGGTGGATAGATACATTTTTGCTGTTTGATGGTGGGTGGGTTGCAAAGAACATGTGGGAAGGAGAGGAAAGTTGATAATCCAAATATATATTTTATTTTCTTCTTTCTTGTCCATTTTGAGATTGAAAAACACATCTAAGTCTCGTAGAAAGTGTTTCATTAGATAATTATCAATCTTTTACTCTAGATACATTTCATTAAAAAGATAATGAATTTTGCCCTTTGTTAGCAATTTATTTGCCAGTGCATTAAAATCATGTCCTGTAGACTTTAAAACATTTTAACCAAGAATATTTAATGTCTATTATAATAGTAAAATTTTAAAAATAATAAAAGATGTGAACAAGTATAAATGCAGGATTTGCTAAGAATAAAATATCCTCTTTTACTATATCACATCACCACTGTCATCACTGTTCTGGCATTTGTGCCGTAGAGGGAGAACGCTGAGGAGTACAAAAAGAAAATACGTGGAACAAAGTTCATTCTGGAAAGCTCTTTCCAAAAGTGCATTTTATGTGTTTCAAAAAATTTATTTTTAAAAAGTTTATTCTGAAAACTTGTTTCGAAAGATATTATATATGTTTTGGAAGACTTATTTTAGAAATTTTATTTCGAAAAACTTGTTTCATTACATTTGATGTGTTTCTATTCTAAAATCTTATACAAAAAGTTTTATTCTTAAATTTCATTCTGAAAAGCATGTTCTACAAAATTCAGGACATTTTCAGAACAAATAATCTAAGGATCACTTCTACACGTGTAAAATATAATTTTGGAATCCGGTGAATAAGAAGATTTTACAAGAAAAATTGTGAAAAGAATATCTTGCAGACATCTGACATAAAAAGAAGTTAAATGCTAATATAAATACTTCAAATTAGAATATCTGTTATGAAACAATTATATGTCATTTAAATAACAATATAAAATACTAAACATTGAAAGTTTGTTTTCTAAGTCTTTCATTAAATGTAATAGAATTATACTGCGAAGTAATTGATAATGTAAACATTTCTATTAAAATTAATCAATTTTTAGCTAATATACTAAAAATGAAAAATTATTAAAAAGTATCTAATTAAAAGATATTATGTAATTTTATTATCACGTTATATGATCAACATAATGAAAAAAAATATTATAAAATTCTACTTTAATTAAGTTTCGAATTCTTCAAAACTTATGAATTTGATAATATGATTGATGTAAAATGATAAATATCTTTTATTGACAATAGTGGTGAGGGAATACTCCTTTGATTGTTGTAGATGATAAATGTTGACCAAGATTTTGAAAAACTAAAATAACATATATTTAAAATTTATATATATTATATTCTTACTAATACAACAAAAACAATACATAAATTAATATAATTATAACTAAAGAAAACATACATGTTAAAAGAAAATGTTCCTTGGTTCAAACTCATCACCTCTCATTAATAATTGAATATAAACTAAAATATTAAGAAATATATTTGCCAAAAAAGAAATTATGATATATGAGTGAGAGTTAAAATCTAGTTATAAAAAAAAAAACTTGTAAAAGTTAAGATTTCATTTTATATTCCTACAAAGAAAATTTTCATAAAATAATTATAAGAATACTTATATTACTATAGTGTAGTAATTTGAAAAATAAAATAAAATACAATTATTCAAATTCTTATATTATTTTTCGTATATTTTAAACAAAAATGTTTTTAATGAGAACAAGTAAAAACTCATTCATAAAAATTCTATAAAGCTAATATTTCATTGTATTTTTTTTTTCAAAAATAAACATAACTAGTGAGCCATGATTAAAAGCAACGAGTTTGTATTCTACTCATTTTTGTTTTCATTTATTTATAGACTATATAACATACGAGTAGAACTAATAAGTTTTATGTTTTACCGCAAAAAAAAAAAAATTAATGAATGGGATGGAATTAATTTTCTTCTCTACAAATCTCATCCGATCCTATTTTTATTGTATTAATTTTATACTTTAACATTTATTAAAACTAAATAATGTATGTTATAATAAATTAGAAATTATTCTAATTTAGTTATTATTATATTTATATATTTAATTTTAAAATATTTAAAATTTATCATCCCAATAGTATTTTATTTCAATATTAACACATTAAATCAAGCAAATAAAATAATGAAAGTAAACTATAATGAAACCATTCATTTAATAAAAAAGTTAAATAATAAGAATTTAATTAAAAAATATAATTCTTTTTATAATAATTGGTGAAAAACGTTTAAATTGAAAATATAAATTTATGAAAAATTTAAAACTTAACTAAATTTAAAATTTTGTATAAAAATATATTTAAAAAAAGTTGAAAGTTGTTATATTTATTTAGAATGAAAGGAAAAGAAGAAAAGAAAATAGAAAAAGGTGGATAATGTAAGAGAACGAAAAGAGGCAGTGGAGAGGAGTAGTGATCCTGGAAGCATCCGACGTGGAGGAATTGTGATCAGACGGGGGAGAGAGAGAGAGAATAAGGGAAGTTCTCTTCTTCTCTTCTACTCTTCTTCTCTTCTTCCACCGTTGACAGAAATGAAGATGGCGCTGCTCAAGGCACCCACACCCCAACTGCAATGGCGCTGTAGTGTTGCGCCCACCACGCTGGCGTTTCCCAATTCTCATTCCATTTCTACGGGTGAGTCACTGTCTTCCTTTACTTCCCCCAAATAATCACAAACCAATGGCAATTAGGTCAGCTACTGATTTAACATCAATGCCTATGGAACTGACAGGAAGGGGAAAAGGAAGAGAGTGGAGTTGGAGGGTGAAATGCAGCAGCAGTGCCGGTGCGGAGATTGAGAAAGGGACTGCCAATTTTGGGTCGGGGAGCCCAGTGAGGCCAACCAGCATTTTAGTGGTGGGGGGCACCGGAACACTTGGAAGGCAGATTGTGCGACGGGCACTCGACGAAGGCTACGACGTTAGGTGTCTGGTCAGGCCCAGGCCCGCTCCTGCCGACTTCCTTCGCGATTGGGGAGCAACCGTTGTCAATGTAAATGTCTTGCCATTCATCACCACTTCTATTTCTGTTTTTCAGTTGTAACCTTTATCTTTCTTTGATTTGTATATAAACACTGTTATGCTTCCGCTTTGGAACTACACTATTCTCTTCAATGATAATGAGCATTTTTTTCTCCTGGGCATTTTGTCAAATTCTAGCACTCTCTTCACTTTCTTCTTCCCGTTCTCCAGGCTGACCTCAGTAAACCAGAGACCATTCCTGCTACCTTGGTCGGCATACACACCGTCATTGACTGCGCCACTGGCCGTCCCGAGGAGCCTATCAAAACCGTAACCAACCCCCCTCCACTCACCTTTTCATTTCATTTCCTTTCCTTTACACACATTTATACAATTCATACATACAAACATAGGTAGACTGGGAAGGAAAAGTGGCTCTCATACAATGTGCCAAGGCAATGGGCATTCAGAAATATGTCTTCTACTCCATCCACAATTGTGACAAACATCCCGAGGTTCCCCTCATGGAAATCAAGTATTGCACTGAGAAGTTCCTCCGTGATTCTGGCCTCGATCACATCGTCATCCGCTTATGCGGTTTCATGCAGGTCACCGCCACCTTACTCTCCCCTCAATCCATTCCTTTAATTTCTACCCACTTCCGTTTCATTCATTTACAATCTGTCCTTGCAGGGTCTTATTGGTCAGTACGCAGTTCCCATCCTTGAAGAAAAATCTGTTTGGGGAACTGATGCCCCCACCAGAATAGCTTACATGGATACTCAGGTAATTTATGTACTATAATTCATCTCCTCCCTCCACGCTTTCTTTCCCTCTTTATCTTTCATTTCTAATCGCTCTGCCTCCACCCTTAGGATATAGCTCGCTTGACATTTATAGCCATACGAAATGAGAAATTAATTGGTAAACTTCTTACATTCGCTGGTCCCCGTGCTTGGACAACCCAAGAGGTAATCAACTTATCTTCTTCTGCTGCTATTCTTTTTCTCTACCTCCTCCTCATTCCTCCTTTTACTGTCAGGTAATAACCTTGTGCGAGAGGCTCGCTGGCCAAGATGCTAATGTCACCACAGTTCCAGTCTCCATTTTAAGATTCACTCGTCAGTTGACTCGCGTTTTTGAGTGGACAAATGATGTTGCTGACAGACTCGCATTTTCAGAGGTACTTATTTCTTTGCCCATTACACCTTTAGTAAATTGATATACTGTTGCAAGGAATTGCTCCGTTACCCCCTTTTCCCTTTAGATCAAGCACCCATCCAGTATTCATTCACTGTTGGTTGGTTGGTTATGTTTACGGCATTTTCTTAAAATTATTATGAAACCAAATACACTTTTAATATCCACCAGTGAGCCATACCCATTGGACAATTCCCACAGGGGCTTTACTGATATGTGATGACTTGTTGTAGGGGGTATCTGAATGTTCTTGTTGCCTTATTACTAGCATCTCATAACTAGAATTTTTCACATTCTTCCACTCCACATATACGTTGTCTTTTAAGTGGCTGCCTCTGGTACATAATAGTGGGTGGATGATTCACAAAACAGATAAATGAGTGATGCATGTTCGGTATGCTCACAAACTCGACTGAAATTCTGTTTAGTTCATAATTTGACTTTTATAGAAGATCCTCTTGAACATTTTCAACAAAAATGTATGAGATGATTTTAACTTTTGAGAGAAGTTTTAAGATGAACACTTGGATTAAATCGGGTGGAAAGGAAATCCAATCTGATCAATCTTCGTTAGTGTCTCCATGCAAACTAAAATGAATGGTTGTATTTTAGAAAATAAAATATGAAATTATATCTATTGTTTTAAAAAAATAATGACGTGGATTCTTGCAGTTTTATAGTTTATTAGATTACAATTTAATTGTTGATTTTTTTAATATACTGTTATGATTTCCTCAAACATATTGTTCATTTCATGTAAGTCAAGTTCAAAAATTTAAAATCTTCCAATGATTTAATTGTAAAATTATCGGTTTTATTGATATAGAATGGACACATTTTTTCATGAAGTATTTTTTTTGAGAAAAAATAAACAGAAAATATGAAATAAACCTTTCATAAGATAAATTTAACTTTATGTATAAATCGAAAAGAAGCAGCTGAAATATATAATATTTATAAATTAGTCTATACATAAGTTAATTTTGGTTTATGAAGAAGTTTATTTTACCTTTTTATTTTTATTTTTATTTTAAATACGTTTGAGAAGAAGATGGTCTAAACTTTATCTTTTTGTTAGAAAGAAAAAACAAAATGTGTAATTGACAAAATTAAGGCATATGTGTATCATTGTTCTTCTTGATTAGTACATGTGATCACTCTCTATTTAATTTGATTATGGGTGTTTAATTTTATCTTTTTGGTGTATTGGCTTTTTAATTTTTAATTTTTGGGTTTCAAATTCAAGTGTGTATCTTTCATTCATATGATTTGTTATATTCTCAAAAGTTATAATTTATCATTAATCTTTGTTCAGCAATCATGTATTTATTTGACTGGACAATCACGATTCAATCAGCGAGCCGAGCTATTATGTTCACTAACTTTTCTGTCAAACATTTGTATTTCCTCGTAGTGGTAATAAATATAATTAAATGGGAAAATATGCAGGTCCTTAGCAGCGATACTGTGTTTTCTGTTCCAATGGCGGATACATATAATCTTCTTGGAGTTGATTCAAAAGACATAATTACACTGGAAAAGTATTTGCAAGACTACTTCAGTAACATATTAAAGAAATTGAAGGATCTCAAGGCTCAGTCAAAGCAAACAGATATTTACTTCTGAAAGATTATTTGTAACATAAAACCACTTAAGGGATGTAGATATCTAGAAGTCTCGTTTATATATATTAATTTTTTTTCTTCCGGTTGGTGTACCTAAGAAAGCTGAGGATGTACAATAAAATTCAGACATATTATATGTTTACATAAGTTAAATTATCTTGTGATAAATATAAGAGACAATGCTGTTTATTAATTGCCAGATTATCATATTTGCATTTAACAGTGAAAGTAAAAGGAAATGAATATAAAAATATAACTCATTTTAGTAAACGTATTATTTTAAACAGTTATGAAATATTAGATAGAAATATAAAAACAGGTAAGAACAATTTATTTATAAATAGACTAAGGTTGTTAAGGCAAAGTATATAAGTAATAATAATTATAACATGATTAACAAAATTAATAAATATTCGTTAAGACATATTCGTTTCTCAATAAGAAGCCTTTTGGAGTAGTACCAAAAGCAAATCAGTGAGGACTTAACCAAAAACAGACAATATCTTGATTGACAGTGGTTGCACAAACCATATGACCTAGGGAAAAAGTTTTGCTCTAAATCCATTGGAGGAAGAGCAAGTTGCCTTTCTTGTCAAGGAGAACATCACAGAAGTTTGGCACAAGAGGCTTGGGTATTATCATCACCAAAAGCTGCTGAAAATGTAGGCCCTCACAGAACACCTTCCTTAAAAGGTAGTCTCTATTTTATTACCTTTATTGATGACTTCACCAGAATGTGCTGAATTTTTTTCTTGAAGTTTAAATCAAAAGTAGCTCAAGTTTTTTGGAAGTTTAAGACAAGAGTTGAGAATGAAAGTAACGGCAAAATTCGTATTGTAAGATCTGATAATGAAAAGGAGTATACTTCAGCAGAATTTGATAGGTTTTGTGAAGATTCAGGCATACAACATCAACTTATATCCCCTTACACACCTCAACAAAATGGAGTTAGTGAGAGGAGAAATAGATACATCATGGAGATGTCAAGATGCATGTTGCATGAGAAGAAATTGCCAAAAAAATTTTGGGCAGAGGCAGCAAATATAGTTGTGTTTCTTCAAAACAGGCTTCCAACAAAGGCACTGCGAGAAATGACATCATTTGAGGCATGATATGGTTATAAACCATCTCTAAAATTTCTTAAAGTATTTGGTTGTTTGTATTTCACTCATGTTCAACAGAGTAAGCGTGACAAGCTTGATAGAAAAGCTTCATCAAGCATTTTTATAGGCTACAATTTGTCAGTAAAGCCTATAAAATTTTCCAGCCACAAAATGGAAATATTATTGTCAGCAGGGATGTTCACTTCATGGAGGATGAAGAGTTGAACCTGGATGATGCAGAAAAGAAGGGTCAGAACATGGCATAACTGAAACTCAAGTTTTCTAGTTCAAGCATTGAAGAAGAATAAGATGATTGACAAAATCAAACAGTGGATGATGCTCCTGTGTGAGGAACAAGGTTGCTCTCAAATGTTTATGAAAGGTGCAATATTGCCATATGTGAACCTGCTGTACAGAAGCAAAAAAAGGATCAAAGGTGGATAGATGCAATGGAGGAGGAGTTGTCAAAGATAGAGAAAAACAAAACTTGGATCCTAGGAAGTAATTGGAGTCAAGTGGGTGTTTAAAACCAAACTTAATGTTGATGGCTCAATCAACAAACACAAAGTTAGGCTGGTGGTTAAAGGGTATGCCCAACTCTTTGGTATTGATTATTCTACACTTTTGCTCCTGTTGCTAGATTGGACACAATCATGTTACTCCTTGCAGCACAAAAGAGCTGGAAAGTGTTCCAATTGGATATAAAATCAACCTTCCTAAATGATATCCTACAAGAAGAAATTTATGTTGAGCTACCCAAGAATTTGTGAAGGAAAGTGAGGGAGATAAAGTCTATCTTCTCAAGAAAGGCCTTTGTGGTCTAAAACAAGCTCTAAGAGCTTGGTATAGCAAAATTGATGAATATTTGCTAAATTTTGGATTTGAGAAAAGTCTATCATAAACAACCTTGTATGTCAAACACAATGACACTAACATTCTTATTGTTTCATTGTATGTTGATGAACTACTAGTTACAGGAAATAATACAGAGCATATTCAAAACTTCAAACAGGAGATGATGAATGTGTTTGAAATGACAGATCTTGGAGTTATGTCCAACTTCCTTGGCAGGGAAATCAAGCAAGGGCAAGCTGAAATTTTCATATGTTAGAAAAAGCATGCAAAGGAAATACAAAAGAAATTTCAAATGGAAGAATGCAAGGCAGTAAGCACTCCAATGAATCAAAAGGAGAAGCTACATAAAGAAGATGGTGCTAACAAAGTTGATGAAGGATATTTTAAAAGCTTGATTGGTTGGTTGATGTACCTCACGGCAACAAGGCCTAATATTTTAAATGTTGTAAGTATTATGTCTCGATTCATGCATTGTGCAAGTGAATTGCATCTCAAAGCTTCCAAAAGAGTGATTATGTATGTGAAGGATACAAGTGATTTTTGTTTTAAGTTCACATGGAACAAAAAATTTAAGTTGGCAAGTTTCTTTGACAGTGACTGGGGAGGTTCTATGGATGATATGAAAAGTATTTTAGACTACTGTTTTACTCTTGGATCAAGTGTTTTCATTTGGAGCTCAAGAAAGCAAGAAATTGTGGCTCAATCCACTGCAGATGCTGAGTTTATTGCAACAACAGCGACAGACAATCAAACTTATAGTTAAGAAAAATTTTAATGGATTTAAGTCTGGAACAAAAAGAAAGTATTAAAGTTTTTCTTGACAACCAAGCTGCCATCGCTATTTCCTATAATCCTGTATTTCAAGGAAAAACTAAGCATTTCAACATCAAGTCCGAAAATCAACTTGTAGATTTATTTACAAAACTTGTAGATATATATATGAGATATGGGAGAAGAAAGATGAATATAGAAGATGAAGATGTGTCGGAAAGGTCAATATGGATGACATACTTTTCTTTTTTAAGAGAAGCACAAGAGAGAGAAAAAGATGTGTCAGAGTTACTCTTCTTTCCTAAAATGATTTACTTTTTATAAATTATAGTTATAATATATTAAAAAAATTATTGATTTTGAATGTAATTATATAGTAGATAGAATAGTAATTAAATAGAATGAAATAAATGCATGATTATCCTTTGGTCTTGGTCTTCCTGGACATCACACTTAGGAAGCCGCCGGGCTGGGCCCCTAACACGTTTCTTTATTTATGTGGTAAACTTCTCATCAGCGCTTTTAGTAAAATAGAAATTTTTTTGCTGAAAACTTGAATCATTGAGTAGAAGGAGAAAACCAAATGAAATAGAAATTTCAAAAAGTGATAATGTATTTTATGTATAAAAAGTAAAGTTAGGAATATGATTTGAATGAAGTAAAAGAAAATGTGGCTATAAATAGATTGATAGGGAAGGAAGGGAAATGAAAAGTATAGAGAAATGAAGAAGAATAGAATGATATGGAGCGTAGGAGTGATGCTGTGGACGCTGTTAGTCGGAGGAAGCTGGGGAGAGCAGTGTGGAAGCCAAGCAGGGGGTGCGCTGTGCCCAGGTGGTCTCTGTTGCAGTCAGTTCGGCTGGTGCGGCTCCACCGACGACTACTGCGGCCAGGGTTGCCAGAGCCAGTGCGGGGGAGGACAGCCGGCTCCGGCTGATCTCACCGCTCTCATATCCAGGGCCACCTTCGACCAGATGCTCAAACATCGCAACGACGGAGCTTGCCCAGCCAAAGGCTTCTACACCTACGATGCCTTCATCGCCGCTGCCAGTGCTTTCCCCAGCTTCGGCAACACCGGAGACACAGCCACTCGAAAGAGGGAGATTGCGGCCTTCTTCGGGCAAACGTCTCACGAAACAACCGGGGGATGGCCCACTGCACCGGACGGACCGTACGCATGGGGATACTGCTTCGTGAGAGAGCAGAACCCAAGCGATTACTGCTCCCCAACTCCCCAGTTTCCCTGCGCTTCTGGACAACAATACTATGGCAGGGGTCCCATCCAGATATCTTGGAACTACAACTACGGTCAGTGCGGAAATGCAATTGGGGTGAATTTGATCAACAACCCTGATCTCGTCGCCACTGACGCCGTCGTCTCCTTCAAGTCCGCCATCTGGTTCTGGATGACCCCACAGTCCCCCAAGCCTTCCTCCCACGACGTCATCACCTCTCAATGGACCCCCTCCGCCGCCGACGTTGCCGCCGGGAGGCTTCCGGGCTACGGCACTGTGACGAACATCATCAACGGAGGCCTGGAGTGCGGCAGAGGACAGGATAGCAGGGTGGAGGACCGCATCGGGTTCTTAAAGAGATACTGTGATCTGCTAGGAGTTGGTTATGGCAACAACCTTGACTGCTACTCTCAGACCCCATTCGGAAATTCACTGCTTAATCTCCATCCCTTCGTCTGAATCTCTCATCCCATCAAAATAAACAACTTATTCACTTTTAAATAAAATTGCACTTGCTGGAAAGCTACTTTCTGTTCATAGATCAGCTGCACAATGGAACTTCTTCTTCGCTCAAATCGTCACTGATTTAACACAATGGTCCGGAAGAAAGTGATGCATGCATAATAAATTATGACAAAACATGTATCCAAATCAGCCTTTTCTACTTCAAATTATTGAACCGTTACTGATAATGCAATATTACACACAGAACTATTCTAAACTAAACAACTACTAAAAAAAATCAATCACAGTTCGTAATGAGCACGGCAACGCGAGGGGAAGATTCAACCTGCATTGGTATATGTCTCTGTCAACTGCAACAACAATCGCTTGAACTTGCAAGTCCTTTAAGTTGTCCATCTCAGTTTTTCAGAAATATTTAATGACTTTTTTAATCTATTTTTGACATAAATTTTTTAACATTTTGATACAATAATAAACTGTCTTAAAATATTGTAAAAAATTTGTCTAAAAAGATATTTTTTCCTTACTTTTTACTTCATCTTCAAAGTTAATATATATTTTAGCCACTTTACTTACAATTTTACATGATAAAGATCAAAACAAATTAATAAGTATGTCCACAGAAAGTAAAGAAAGTAGTTTATGAATATCGGAATCAAAATACAGAATTTGTATAATTTTATCTAGAATTAGTGTCAACAGTCTTTAATATAATTTGAATTCTTTGTTTTATATTTTACAGCTTTTTTCATCTACAAATTTTAAATCTTAAATTCTATCATGCTAAAATTGCCTAACTTTGTTAGTTTGACTTTGACATTCAAACTTTAATACAGTAAAATTCAGAGACATCGATCACTATTTTCTTAAAATTGTAACGAATACATTTAGGATTATCAGATAACAGATTTAAAAATAGATGATGAATGAAAATTGTATTTTCAAAATTTATTGACTATCAATTTAAAATTCTAAACCTCGTAATTTACTTTATCTTCTTTATGTGATACCTAAGTTTTTATTATCTTTTTCACCAGGTAGCTATTAGTGTGCTGATAATAATCAAATTCTACCAATTAGAATTTTGATTTCAGTAAGTTTTTCCTACTTTATCTTTTCTTTTATCTTTTAATATTCTCTTGCATGCATGTAGTGTTTTGGGGTATTTTTGTATATAATAACATGGGAATAACGATTCTTATCTAAATCTGGAATGATATGTTTGGTTTTTTGTTCAAGTTTCTTAAGTGATATTTAGAAATACACCAAAACCCCAACCAAGTAGATGATCTAGAAGTGATATTTAATAATTCCTTATGATTTGTTCATGAACAACTCGTGATGAAATTTATTATGGAAAAGATGTAAAACAATTTAAAAACAATGTTCTAGAATTATTTTTGGTAGATTTCTGCAAAGTGCTTGATGAAGAGCGACATTGGGAGACTGAACAGGCTCTTGTACAGGGCAGATTCTGGGTGCTCTGTATTTTATTTATTATGTTGAGGATGTTTACGTTATCAGCAACCCACCATTGTTTGATTTGGGTTTAAATTTTTAATTCAATGCCAACTTCTTAGTTGATTTCACCTGTTTTAATATCTCCACTCATCCTCTTTGCTTCACCGTCTGATTTTCTTGGTGAATCGGATTCCCTTGTTCAATCTTCATGACGGTGCTGTAAATGTGGTCCAGAGTCTAACATTCAGCTTCAGGAGACCTATTAGAGTCCAACAACATTCAGCTATTTTCATCTTAAACAACGTTTCACCCACAACAGTGGTTAGACGTAGAATCACTCATGTACTTTCTTCAAACAGTTTAACCTTTTAAAAAGTTGATTTCGTCTAAAGGCATAATTGGTTCATGACGCAAGTCGGTCTTTCCCATCACCATCACAACGCTTCAGTTCTATGTGATCCCAACATCTTTCAGAGCAATCAATATAGAAAGGAGTGAATCACCTGATCGTCGTTCACTATCAAAACTATCTTTCATGTATATAGTGTTTGCATTTACATCCTGCACCCAATCTTAGATGCGCATGCCAAAATTTACAAGTTGGATTGTGTGAATGCGTACCATACCAGTTTGTCAGAAGAATAAAGTCACACTAATAACCAACATTTTACTAGCTCTATACTATTTTGAAACTTCCATTACATGCCACTGGAATTGCCAGAATACTTTTACTTACGCTTCCAACCCTTTAATCTTGTGATTTGTGATGTATTCTCGAGACAACGAGAATCGATATATTCTGTTGCTTTAGCATAACAAGATTTGGTAAGCGTATAATAATTCAACTCCCTTTTTCACTTAGAGTAGCCATGAGTTCTGACCGAGCCTTATCGAGGGCACTTGACAAATTTTCAGGCTTCCTCCCACCTGCCTGAGCAAAATTGGGCCTTCCACCTCCTCCACCGCCACATAATTTTGCAATTTGTCCAATAAATTTACCTGCCTGAATCCCCTGATCAACCACCCCTGGAGAAAAAGCAGCAACTAGGCTAACCTTCCCCTCACCTGGGCATGAGCCCAGTATCACGGCTGCTGGATCTGTTAGTGTTTCCAGTAAATATTCTGCGGCACTTTTAAGTGATTCAGCATCAACATCATCGAAGGACTCAACTAGCACCCTGCAAATTTTGAACAACAAATAAATAAAAAAGGATACATCTACTTAATGTTTAACAGATTTCTAAAGATAATTTTTTTAACAACATACGGAATATCTGGTTAAAAAAACAAGAAAATATACATACAAGGGACATCCTTTCAACTTAATTTCACATAATTTCTGTAGCAATCACAAAACTATATATTCAAGGGACTACCAACGATGTGATGCAATACCTCTGCTTCATAGTTGTCAGATTTGTTTGGTTTTGACAATAAAAACTTCAACTGAGAAAAGGTTGAAAGACTTAGATATCAAAGAAACATCTTCAGGTTGCTAAAACTGAAGAAATCACTCTCCCCCATATTAGGGCAACATATAATATCACACTGAGAACCATTACCTGTACTGTTTTGAATTCCACACCAACAATGCTTTGCTCGCAATACCTGAAGCTTTGTAGATTGCTGCCTTTGCACGCACAGCAGAGTTTTCATTTCTAACTACCCGTAACTCCTCCAAAAGGTTTTCGATCCTTGTTGTCACTTCTTCTGGTTTAACCTTAAAAGTATGATAATATTATATAAATTATAACACGTAATTTCATGCAAAAATCAATATTGCAAAGCATAACACATGCCCAAACAGAATTAGAAGTGCTTGAAAGAAATGGTGCAATGTGCTGAAATGACCAAGCCAACAACACCCCTGGAATTTTTATTTTATTAAAAACACTAATTAAATATTATACGCATAAAGGACATACATTATGTATTTAAGAAAGTCCATTCGCTGATATGTTTGATCCATTGCGGAAGAAACTAGACAGGAAATCCTATTAAGGCATACACAAAATGAAAGTCCCAAAGCCAAGTGATAAGCACCCAAAACACTCCCTTCTTAAAACGGAGTTGTTAAAGGGGAAAGAATCAAGCTACTTAAGTATTTTATCGAGTATACCCTACTTCTGAATGTGGGATTTAAGCACCTCATACGGTCCCTGAAAGCCAAGGTGTTGCATATAATTGAATATAATTGACCCAACAAGGTGTATATAATTAATAATTGATCACAATAATTGAATAACGCAGAGATATTGACCCAACAAGGTGATTTTATAATTTCGGTTAATATAGATAAAATGAAAATTAACTGGTTCCCCCGAGGGCAAACTATAACTTTTCAAGCCAAGATCATGGAACATACTTTGAGAGTGGAACATAGCTGCTTTAGATAAAAGTCACGGGCATTGATATATTCAATGAAGGCTTCGCCAGCTACAGCTTCAATTCGCCTGATTCCAGATGCAATACCCTGTTCTGATATTATTTTAAAGCCACGAATTTCAGAAGTATTATTTACATGAGTCCCACCACATAGTTCCATTGATACACCAGGAACCTCTACCACACGTACCTGCAGAACGCCAAATTAGAAACCAAAATAAGCTGCATAAGCATCAGCTTGATAAATACTAACACAAACACAGATTCTTAATCATTTCCCTGATTGATGAAAGGTATAAATATACACGCCTAGATCTGGAACATATAACTGTAATCTGTCATAGAAGTGATGAGCCATTAGAATTTAAACTTTTCTTTTAGTTTCATTAACAGAATATTCTCTTAATAGGATTTACAGAACCTAGTATCTTAACTGTACATGATTTACTACTGTGGTCCATGTGCATGCGCTTGACAGAAATACGTGGATAACTACTAGTATATCATAAATGACAATTGTAATTGGATGTCTTCCAAATTTGCACACTTTTTTTGGAATGAGTAGCAATCTAACAATAGTAAAAAGGGAATTTCAGTCAGAAGTATTGTTTTGAGCATTTGCAGTATTGTAAACCTTCCCTGAAGGTCACCTACTTTGAATACACATTTCATGATAAATGTAATCTACAAGCTTAGAACTACTAAAACAGAAGTAATACAATTAAACTTTAAAGGTCACTACTAAAAGTGTTTGAAGCAAATCCTACCTCTTCTCCATATTTTTCTCCAAACATTGCAATAGCCCCAGCACTTTTTGCATCAGCAAGGGGCATCACTTTGCTTTGAAGTAGCGTTGCATCCTCAATCCATCCATTGATCAGCAGTTCAATTTCAGCAAGCTCACTATCACGAAGTGGTCGGTGGAAGTTGAAATCAAATCTGAGACGATCAAATGCCACCAACGAACCAGCTTGTGAGGTCTCCTGACCAATAACCTTTTTAAGTGCAGCTTGTAGTAAATGAGTAGCAGTATGATGAACCTACAAAACCCAACTATACTTACTATAATCTTGAACAACGTGTAAGTTTGAAAACTGGAAATATACATGACTATAAATGAGCAAATTAATAGTTCTTGTACCTTAGCTCGCTGCCTCAGCTTCAGATCAACTGCTGCTTCCACTTCTTTGCCAACCTCTACAACACCCTTTTGGACTGTACCCTTGTG